CTACACGACCTATATCAGTATAACTGTCGCTCAGGAGTGTGAAAAATCCACACTCCTGAGCGATGTATTTATACTGACTTAACCCCTAATGTAGACAATGCTATGTTGGCAGGAGAGCTTCTTCCACCAACACAGCACCCGCCTCTCGGGCTGGTGGATTAACTATGCCGACGGGAGAGCTCTCTCCCAGCGGCTTAGAGCGTTTTCATTAAAGCGCTACGGCAGCGTACCTGCATCGATGTAGCATTTTAAGTGTAGACTCAAGAGTGGGAAAAGAGACAAAGGGGGTGGGAGGAGAGATGCAGGAAAGGGGACATGTTAGGGGCTTGAGCTTGGTGCCGTAAGAAATGGAAAGCCAGTGGAGGGGTTCAAAGTGGGAGGCAGACAGATGTGATGTGAAGGATGCTTTCAGTGATTGCATTTAGGACAGAGCTGGGCGTTAGTGAGGCCGAAGAGGAGAAATTTGCATTAATCAAGGTCAGAGATACTTGTCAGGGCATTTGCAGTGGGTACAGTGAGGGGTTACCGTGGCTATCCCCTCATCTCAGGAACGGAGTCTGACGAGAATTGCTCATTCAGGCTTGCTCGTTGCAGCTATTCTGTAGCATGGGCCCATGGAGGGGCACTGGGCTAGGATTTGGCAGACCTTCTAGTCTCAGCTCTGCTGCTGACGTAAGTGGGCCTCAAGCAAAACCTCTAATCTCCCTGTGCCTTGGTTTCCCCATCTGTAAAATGAAGACAACAGTCTTTCGTATGTCTTGTCTGTTTAGATTGTGAGCTCAGAGAGGCAATGATATTTGCCTGCCTTTGTAAAGTGCTTTGAGTTTGACAGTGAAAAGTGCTGCATAAGAGCTATAGATTCTTTTATTATTATTATTATTATTATTATTTAGTAAAAGCGGTCAAACGTATCGTCTGGATCTCAAACAGAAAGCTGAGGAGAAATGTCTCAGGTTTATTATGATTTATACTGCAATCGTACCTCGAGGCTCCGCTGTGCTAGGCCTGGCCAACTCTTCACAATTAGATCAACCTAGTTCCGGCGCTCGGGCCTGTGAAAAACGTCATGCCCCGAGTGCCGTACTTAGTTCGACCTAACCCCTGGTGTAGACGTGGCTAGGACAATGGCAGCATTCTCTCCAAGAGGTGGATTACTTACGCTGATGGAAAACCCCCTTCCATCGATTGTAGGAAGTGTCTCTACTGTGGCATTATAGTGGCACAGCTGCAGTGTGGACATCTCCGTACTTTGCACCATGTCTAAAGGTCTGTCTACACTGCAGTTAGAAGTCTGACTGCAGCACATGGAGCCAGACCTGACCCAGCTTTGATCTAGCTCAGATAACAGCAGTGAAGTCCTGGCAGCATGGGCTAGCCATTGAGTACATACCGAAAGTCCTGGGTGGGCTTGTACAGCCTCTGTGGCTGCAGCTTTTCTGCTGTTTGAGCTAGCTAGATCAAAGATAGCTTGGGTCTGTCTGTCAGGGCTGCAGTCACACCTCTGAGTGGTGTAGACGTAGCCCGAGACCCTTTTCTAAACAAACAAGGTGTGAAGGGAGACCGAGGTCAAGTGACTTGCCCATGGTCACCCAGTGGGTCACTGGGAATAGAACCCGAGTCTCCTGGCCCCCAGTTCAGAGCGCTATCCACTAGGCACTGCTGCTTCTCCGAGATAGAATTCAGGCACAGCCCCCAACCACCTGCTGCAAGTGACTTTATTAGGACTTTGAGCAACAACTGCAGGACTTGGCCTTTAAATGATCAAACAAATACGGTGCGAGTCTACATTGGCTTCTCCAGTCTTCAGTGGTTTCTTGGTGGTGTTAAAGTAGGACAATGTCAGGGTGCCGCATCCGTATTCCTTAGGCGTTGACAGCCGGTTGCTGATAACAAGGTGATGGCTCCTATCTTGAGATACTTAACAACGTAAGCAAACGAGAAGCTTGGTTCGTCAGATGGGTAAGGCTTCCATTTGGCATCCAGTATATTTCTTGCTCTGAGGTGTTGCCCTTTGACATTAAGCTGAGCTCTGAGCAATTCCCTTCTCCCACGTCAAAGGGGATTGTGGGCAGGGGTGGAGAAATGTGACTGGGATCAAAACTCTCTGACTTTAATTTCCTCTGCTTTCTTAATCATTTCCTGACAAGTCCTTGAGCTGCCAGGAGAAATCTTCGCACTGATGCGGTGTAATAAATTCCCTGGCTCCTTCCGTCTCCATGGGGTGAGCGATAAGGTTTTTCAATAAAATAAAGCTAGCACCTCTTCTTCATCTTCAGTCGTATTGTTTCTTCGCTGGGATGCTTTAATAGACCATTGATTTGGCTGGCTCAGACCACATCTGCCCATTGGTAGTAAGGGCTTGTCTACACAGGGATGCTCAGGAAAGTTAATCTGAATTAAATGAAGATGCAAATTTAAAGTGGGTTAGTTAAACCACATTAAGTCCCGATGTGGTTGCTCTTTTCAGAATTAAAGTGGCCTTAATTTTATTCAGTTTAATTCACTTTGGAAGGGAATTAAGCTAAATCCGATTAAAGCCACTTCAGTTCTGAACAAGTGTGCCCGCATAGGGGGTTAATGCAGTTTAAATAAACGACGTTAAAATTCACATCTTTATTTAATTCAGATTAATTTTCTCGTGTGTCCCCATGTCAACAAGCCCTCTGTAAGATCCAGATCCTTAAAGGTATTTAGGTTTCTAGCTTCCATTGATTTCAGTGGAAGTTAGGAACCCAAATATCTTTTCCGAATCTGGGCCTAAGTTAGTTTAAAAAGTAAATCAGTTAAAAGTTGTGCTGTCTCTTTTCATAGTGGTACCACCAGAAAAGCTCCAGTGACACTTTCCCTTTCTGCCACGCCATCCAGCTGTGGATCTCAAAGCACTTCCCATTCATTCTGCTAAGCCTTGCAATCTGCACTGTGAGGTATAGAAATAATACCCCCGCTTTACAGAGAGGTAAACTGAGGCCTAGAGGGGCTGAGTCGTGTGTTTCAGGTCCCACATTGAGTCACTGGCAGAGAATGGAGTCCTGACTCTCTGCCACCCTTAGACTACACTGTACTTTCAAGAGCACATGAAACATTTTACAGCCTCAATTTATTTTACAGACTGTAACCAATTAAACCAAAAGGTGCAAGGAAGGCATGGGTTTTTTACAAGCTTATTATTTAATTTCTCCGGTCTCTCTCCCTGTTGGGGCATTTATTGGGCACAAGGGCCCATTGATTGGGCACAGCCACATTTTAATATATTATTTTGAAGTTCACAAAGGTTGAATGCACTCAGAGCATCTGTTGTTGGAGGTCTGGGAGGGGGAAGAAGACCAGAAAGCAGAACCAAAAGTTACAGGCCTCAGCTCACTAACTATACTAAACAAAGTGGAGATGAGCTGCCCAGGAAAGGAAGGCATTGGTGAAGGGCAGAGTCTCAGCCCGTGTAAATTAAGGTAGCTTCATGGAAACCACTGGAGCAATACTGATTTACACCAGCAGAGGCTTTGGCCCTATGGTGGCTGTTTCTGTTTCAAAGGCCAGAATCCGGCTGCACAAAATGCCTGGAATGCCACAGCCAGAGCAGCGGTGGAAGGGTGCTATGCAAAGTTTGCCTCTCATAAATTCCTTGGACCAAATCCATTGTTAGTGTAAATTCAGTGGATTCCTACCAGAGGTGACTCTGACTTCTTGTGGGCTGGAATATCTCCCAGGATTTCAGTTGGGGAGGAAGGCAATAAGATACTGCTGTTATCTTCGAGCTCTCTTGTTGCAATGAGAAATGTGTACATGATTAAAGGCAGTTCAGGGCTATGAGAACCGCTCGTTATTTACTCAGCGTGAGAAATGTATCACTGAGTGAGAAGTATATCCCTGCATGAGAACAATATCTACTATTTCCATAAGGAACTGCAGTATGCATGAGAGGTACCCAGGACAAGGCATCACACCAGGCCACCATGTAAGTGTACACATGTAATTTAGAAAGCCATGAGGGTTATTTATACGATCGTATCGTGACTATTGTATCAATATTTGGGGATGTTTGCAAAGAATAACCAATCTATTGCTCACAGCTGCTTACAAAACAGGCAATTCTCTGCTATCACTGTCCTGTCTGAACACCTGCTCAGTTACTGAACCTAATCAGCAGAAATACTGAATAAATATATGCTTCTTGCTCCATAGCCATGGCTCAGTGGCAAAAGATTGGTTCCAGAGCACAGAGGCCTTTACTGAGGATTCCGAGTTGTCTGCACCCTGTTTTTTTGGAGGTTTTTTTTTAAACTCAGGTGACAGGTAACAAGACATAGTTGTTGACATCTCAAAGATTAGCCAGGTTCCAAGCTGTGCAGGGCTTTATTGATTCTAATCAAGGCCTGGCATTGAACTTGGGAGTGCATCGAGTGTCAGTCGAAGGCAATTCCATCAAACAGTTGCAAAGAAGTGGTAGTTACAACATAAGTAAGAGGGGCTGTGATATTAGGTGTGGCTTATGTTGATGATTGTAGACATAGGATTGGTGCTAAGATTTTCCCAAATGACTAGTGGTTTTGTGCGCCTCACTTTTTTGGGTTTCCAAAAAGACAAAGCACTGAGCATCCTTCCTCTAAAAGTCTGGCCCCTTTTAATTGTTTCAGGTTGGGAATGGAGGCAATCAGTATCACTAGTCACTTGGGAAAATCTTAGCCTAGATCTGTACTTGCCCAAAGTTCAGGAACGCTTAGGATCCAGAGATCCCATCTCATGTAGGTTTTGAGTTAAAAGTTTGGTTCCCTTCTCTGATCCATTCTGTAATAAATCTTGCAACAGGAGGGCTAAAATTCAGGCTCTGTCTCCCCTAAGAAAGCTCAGCGTCCCTCATAACTGGTCCTCAATGAGGATAAAGCTTCACAATGCTGGAAGCTGTGCAAAAGTCCTTGCTAAAGCCAAGAGGAAAAACCAATATCGTCCTTCTGTTAATCTCATTCTTTTTACAGAATGTACCACTCCCCGTCATTAAGGGAAGTTTGCTCCTTGACCTGAGAATACAGCTCAGGAGCAAGTGTCTTCCCCTGAGGTCTCATGGGTGGATCTGCCTGAAGTCCCTTCCTGTGGTACAGCGATAAGACATCTGTCTTATTGAATAACATCAATCAAGCCTTAACCATGCCATGTCAGAAAGCGTGGGTTGTGACTGACTCATCAACACATCTTGCGCAGAGTTTGCTTCTCCAGTCCCAAGGTAGTGACGGGGAGGAAGCTGCTCTTGCGTCTTTGTGCTGCTTTGTATTCATCGCTCCTCCTATGTAGTCATTGTGTTTTCTGCGTTACTTGGGGGACTTTCTGATTGTCTTAAGGCAACCCATTCTGCTCTGGCAATCCGTTATAAATTAATAGTTTGCCTTGTCTTTTCCTGAGATGGTGGCTTTACCCAGAGGAAGGAAAGATTTACCCCAGGCAGGAATGTCTCCTTCATGGTCTGGATATAAAACACAGTGTTGTTCCTCTGCCTTGCCTGACGGTTGAACAAAATTCAATAAGGGTAAAATTGAAACTGTTTGCTAATTCAGTAGTTTTGGGAGGTGAGGGTGGACACCCCACAACAACCGAGCTAGTCGTTCTTCCTCTTGCTTGTATGTTTTCTTGTCCATTAAGTATGTAAGCTTTTTGGTGCAGGGATTGCATAATGCTCTGTTTGTATGGCATACAATGGGACCCTGATCCTGTGTTGGAGTCTCTAGGCATTAAATGATACAAAAGATCATTAACAATAACATACAGAAGGCATATATATACAGTACATATTTGTAGCTGAAGAACAGAAGTAATCGTGAAAAACAGGTATGAAACAGTTAACCATACCAGCACTTAGAAAAATATTTTAAATCCTCTTAAAATAACTATCAGGATTAATTATCAGTGCAGTAAAAAAAAACCCTTAAATAATTGGAATAAATCCCCTTTTCTGCTTGTTCATACTGTAGAAATTCCCCAGCTGAGAGCACAATTGTGCTAGGATTTCAGTGTGATTGGCAGCAAATCTTTGATGATTTTATGGAGCTTGGTTGATTACTCCAATCAAAACAATGTATCGAGAAAAGAATAATGATTTGTTTTCATAACAAAATGCTCCAACTCCCGAGACAAAAAAATAACCCTGAGCAAAACTCAACGGACACAACTGGAATTTTCACCCCAGGAAGTGGTGGAGAGAAAATACTGTGGAAATACTTTTCACAGGACAGGTTTCCCTATAAACAGAGGTGCGGTATAATCAGGTTGTTTTTTCTTATTACAGGAGTGCCTAGATCAGGGATCTACATCAGGACCCTTTGTTGCAAGGTGCTGTACACACAAACAGTAAGTAGTTCTCGCTCTGAAGCGTTTATAGTCTTAGTAGAGACAGGCAAAGGGTGGGAGAAAGAAAGTAGAAGTCAGATTGTACAATGCAAGGCATTGAAACAATTTCTGGTTTTTATTCTACTTCATTATAAAGGCAGAAGAGGGAGCATCGTCTAGCAGTTACAATACAGGATTGTGCATGGGGAGAACTGGGTTCTGGTCCTGCCACAGGCTTTTGGGCAAGTCGCTTAATCGCCCCGTGCCTCAGTTTCCCCAGCTATATCATGAGTGTAACAGTTACCTACATCGCTGGTGGGGGCGGGGTTGGCTGTATAATTTGCTAATGTATGCACACAGCTTTGGGACACACACAGCGGTATGGAAAGGCAAAGTTAACGGTGCTTTGGTATGGGGCAAATCCTGACTCTCCTTGGCTGTTGAGGGACTTCTTGCTTCAGAATGAGGCCAGTTTTGGGGAGCTCATGCAGCCCAGTTCTGTGGGGTCTCCTTGCATGTTGCCACAGAGAGGGAAGCTGGGGGTCGAGCAGGTGTATCTGCCATGCTGGCCGGTCCCCTCCACCGAGGGCATTCCCCTGAGATTGGAGTATCAGCCACAAAGTAGCTCCACAGCGTTGTTCTATAACCCCCGAGGAATTCCCCATCCAACTCCTGGGCACGTGCTCAGGGGCCAAGATTGGAATGAAAAGTAGGTCTGATTGTATTGAGTCGGCCAACTACCACGGAACTGTTCTCCTCTGACCCTCAAGTCTGTCTTGCTATTATCGCTTTTGTGTAGATGTTCTCTCCTGCACCAAATTCCTCCGTTCCCTCCTTACTTTTGAATCTCTCTTGGCATTTCATCCTCAAAGAAAGAAATAAGAGAAAAATCCCGTGTGTACGTACAAACAATCGTATCCTCCTGTGTATTTGTATAAGTTCCATTAGCTTTTCCAGCTATGGGTAGGAATGAAAATGCTACACATTTCTGCAGTGCTTTTCATCTCAGCATCTTAAATGGCTTGGCAAGCATCAATTACTCTGAGCCTCTGGTCGAGGTAAGTAGGTATTATAACCAAGGACTAAAACTGCATGAGGTTCTTTAGGGCCTCTGGCTGAGATTTTCAAAAGAGATGCCCAATTCCCATAGCTCCGTTTGAAAATCCCAGACCCTCCGTTGTGAGCACTGATGTCAAAAGGGTGAAACTGCTCCATTGATAAATTATATTGGCTTCTGGTGATAATGGAGGCATTGCTTATTTTTGTAAAATTTGTGCTTTGGTAAAAGGGACAATGTTTGACCACATTTGCAATGGCCCAAGTGAAATTTAACCGTTGCCATCGCATTCCCCACCTTGCTAAAAATGTGGAGCCCAATCTGCAGTCTTTGCTCATCCAGTACTTCCACTGATTTCAGGAGAAACAGCATTAGGGTGGCCTGGGGCTCAACAGACTACTAGCAGTCCTACCTTGTCTTTCCATAGGGCCCAAACATCCCAGGGGGCGTGACCCTTCCAGATGTTGTCCTGTGTGAGACTAAGGTGCACTGCAAGTTTCCACAGCTCATGTAGTATCTGCAATAGTGTGACACCCATTTTAGTGCATGGTGATTTGAATCCGGTTTGCATTTGTTATTTTGACTTCACTGGTGGCATTTTCAGGAACATAGACTGGGACAGACCAGGCTTCCCTCTATTCTTGTCACCAGAAGTAGCCAGATGTTCCAATGGAAGGTGAATCCCGCCCTCCCATAATTGTGCAATTGGGGTGTTGCTTCAGGATCCTAGCAAGTGATATTCTACTGCCCTGAAATATGTGGATTTCTAGCCCTGGCCGTATTATCCTCGCTGACGTAACTGCACTTGCGACTCTTACTCGCATATAAGACCAAGATTTGAATAAATGACTAGTGCCAGACATACACCACCGTACGAGGTTTGATTTTCAGGAATTGCCAAGCATCCACCCACTGGTTATCAGGCCCCTTTAAGGCATTTCAAGCTGAGCCCCCAAAATCATTTGTCATAAATCTTGGCCATATATTCTACACTTCTGTTGAAACAGCCGTCTCTTTATCCATTTAATTCTTTTCTGCCTTTTCATTTAAGCAAGTTGCTTGTGTCATGGGAAGGGGCATTAGAGATTACATTGCAGTTTGAACCTTGCATTATATTTCATCATCCTACTTTAGTTTTTTTAAAAAAAAATTTATTTTAAGTCACACTTGCTGAAAGATGGTGACAGAGACAACATACATGAATATAGACGGCAGCCTCTTAAGAAAGGAAGAAAGGTCCCAGAGTTAGGAAGTGAAGTGAGTTCCCAAACTTCACACCCAGCCATTTTATACAAAGTCATTTTACGTGCCAAAGGTTTCTCTTTTTTTGTTTCTTTTTTTCTCTCTCCTCATAACTATAAAGAAAGCCGGAAGGGTGAGGGCCAGGAAAAATTGAGATGATTTCCCCCTGGTTATATAACGAAGCTTTAAAAAAAATATATAGACAATATCAGTCAGTCAATCACATCCTTTGGTCCCGAGTCAAATCAAATTATCCTTTGTTTTGTTTTGTTCCATTTTAAGATGATGGTGATTTGACTGCAAGCCACGTTCATCATTTAGAGGCGATTTACTCTTCTAAAACCTAATCTGGGCATAGTTTTGTACTGATATCACTACTGCAGTTTGAGCTATGTTTTTTTTTTTTTTTTTTACTGTAATACTTATAACTAGAGCTGGTTGAAACTGAGTTTCCATTCCACGAGAAATTCTGACATTTTAAGAAATTTCCAGAACAATTCATAATTCATTTGGGAAATACTGAAGTGACTCTATTGAAGCTCTTGGTTTCAATAAGGTTGAAATGTTTCATTTTGACTATTATAAAGTATGTCACAATCGAAATGATGAAGTCGAAACAGAGTGCTCCGGTAGTTTTTTAATAAAAAATTTCCGTGAAATCGGTACATTCCCGCCAAATGTTTTGATTTTCTCAAATCAGCATTTTTTGATGGGGGGAGGAGGAACTGATCCACTGGAAAATTTCCAACCAGCTCTAGTTATGACAGTACAAATCCCTAGTGAGGACACAGTGAAAGGTCCCTTTATACTGGTATAGATTATTCTCCTGCCCTTGCAGGGGTAAGCATCTTTCTGTCACTTTGGGATCCTCAAGGATGAAAAACGTGATGTAAATATTAGATGGCATTGTTATTTTCTATCTGAAGATCTATAGCATGTCAGATGAATATATACATAGTCTCTTTAAGCTAACATATTCAATATTTTATAATAACATATTTCAATTTTCAATATATATAATAACATATTCAATTTTTAGCCCAGGAATGATATATATAAAAACTTATCACATTAGTTTCAGAGGTGACTCTCTGTTCAGATAGTGTGAACAATTGTACACTTCTCGAACAATAACAGATATTAGCCCAATCCGTACCAATGACACTGTGCTGTTACTCCTGGTAGTGAAAATGCATTGATCCTTGAAAGGGGAAGCAGAAGGATAATTAGCTGAAGTACTAACCTCCTGCCTAGCGGAAGCATTGCTTAGATGCTTGCAGCCTTGAGAGCAAAGAGACAATGGAAACTGCTAAAAAAAGGAAAAATCCCAAACAGACTTTAAAAGAAAAAGTTATTTTTTAAGTTACACATGGTATAATGAAAACTCCTGCCAGCAATATTTCCTGCTTTTCAAACTACTTATTTATTTATTTATTTATTTAGATTTTTATTTCTGTATGATACAAGAGGGCTCCTTCAAGGACCTGGGTCACCGAATTGGCATTTGGACAGCTTGCATAAAAGCCTTCAGAGGATTGCCTCATTTTCCTCACAGTGGTGTGACAGCAGGCATAGCTGAGGTAAGATCGCTGGCAGTAGAAACAGCCTATGAATCAGTCATCAGTAGAAAGCAGAGCAATAGTGCACTGATTTCCTTAGCGTCATTGATTTAGCTTGTATTGCAACAGGCAACAAAAGTTATTAATAGTGGTAACTAGAACTGTGAGAATAACGGGTTTTTTCTGGGTGTGCTGAAAAAAATTCAGTGAAGGTCAAATGAAATGGCTCATTTCATTTTGAGCCTGCTTTTATTTCAAAACGTGGCTTTCGGTCAGTTGAAAATGTTTCTATTGTGAACCCTGAAAAATGGAAACAACTTGGAAGTTGCTCATGAAATCATTTCCCCCTTTCTCAATCAGCTCGAATACATTTTCTTCTTTGATTGAGCCCCCTCTTGTTTTAATATTATGGGGCAGTAAAAAAAAAGGGACTGATCTCTCTTTCGTAACGGTGAATGTGAACAAAGTCTCCTTTCATCCCTTCTCCTTTTCCAATAAAGACTACCCTCATTTTTGTGATCTTTCATGCAAAGTTAGAGAAAGATCCTGACCTATGTGTAGATTAGAGTTCTGTGCTTGGAGTGACATGAGATAAGATGAAGGAAGCCTGTAAATTGAAATAAGAAATTCTTCTCCCTGTAATAGCCGAGCTATTATAAAGATGGTCTCTAAAAAGTGCTTTTACCTTCATTTTACTAATGGTTCTGCTTTGTCACAATCTCTCTCTATTAAAGCTTCAAGAGTCTCCTGTGAACAGCGGGATTTGAATCGGTGACTGTCAGCATCCAATCTTATGAGGTCAGAGTTACTGGAATGGGCAGTCCAGTAGGTGCTTCTGCTCTGTGGACAGAGGTGACATGAAACACTTGGCCACGAGACCATCCTTCTGCCTTTAAAATGTATTGAATACCTTCGCGATGGCACTGGACTGCAATGCAGGAGACCTGGGTCAAATTTCTAGCTCATCCATGGAGTGATGTGGGTAAGTCCCAGAGGTATGTCTACACTGTCACAGCAGCATGGGCTATACGCTCACCTGTCCCTTGTCCCTCAGTTCCTGATCTGTACAAACGGGGAGGAGAGCACTGCTCCGCCTCACAGAGCTGTTGTGAAGATAGAGTCCATTAGTGGGCGAGGAGGACCCTATGAGCGCTGAGATAGGTAGAACTTGGGCTGAAAGTAACTAGCAGGAACTAAAGCCTAGTCTACACCGAAAATGTACGTGGACGTAGCGGTGTGGCTCAGGGGGCGTGGGGGGGGGGGAAGAAATCACTCCTGAGAGAGGTAGTTAAGCCAATTTAAGCTCCATTGTAGACACCGTTAGGTTCATTGACAGAGGAATTCTTCCGTCGATCTAGCTACTGCCTCTTGAAGGGGTGGATTTACCACTTGCAGAGCTACGCAGAGATTAAAATAAATAGGCCTTAAAATCCATTGGTCGGCATGCTCTCTATCGGCTTTGTTCATGGGTCTCATATTTGTTAGAGAGAGGTACCCTGGGTGTCAAATCCACGTGGCAGCTGGGGGTCTAATTTCCTGCCCATGGATAAGTACGTGCGCTAGACCCCCAACAACATAGCTGGGGTTATATTCAGAGCTCGTATGTAAGTCTACACGAGCTGGAAAGTAGACAGACCCCTGTCTGTATTCCTACTGGCAGCCCCTCAGTGTGGAGTCATGGGATATTCTCCCCTCGTATTAGTTAACGAACACTTTCAGGGTTTACAACTCTGGAACCATGACTTTAAAATGAAAGAAAACATAGCTGCACCTCTCGTTGGAACAAGGTGGAGAGACCAAGGCAAGAACCCTGCTTTTCTCCTCAGGGTCACAGTGGCATTTGAATAGCAGGTCTCGGATAGCGGGGCATGGTAAGGTGTCACCACGATGACAGGAAGACACAGACTGAAATACAAAACCATATTTTGTTGCATTTCCCAGATTCTATGCTGCTTGAAGCAAAATGGGGGACTTGCCAGCCAGAGACATTTGACTGTCAACTCCTTAGTGGCGGGAGCTTGTGTACCGATAATGCTCCAAACACATTAGAAAGGGCATCGGAAGTTTACCTGGTTGGCTTTTTTGCCACCCCACTTTAACAATAAATCAAAGTATGTGCAAGTCAGCAGTATCTTAGTCTTCCCAAACAGTGAAGGTTTAGTGAAAATCAGACACTAGAAAAAGACTAAATTTAACATTTTATTTTGTCTCAGAAGGAATCCACCATCGGCCTCATATTAAGTTATGCATCTTTAATTATAAAAATAAGCAAAGAAAATAACTTGCATCTCTCATTACCATGATATGTTTCAAATAACCTTTATATGAACATATGGAGCTTTAAAAATGTAATTTAACAATAAATAATGACATATCCCAGATATGCTCACTGTTTATTCCAGTAATCAGTCAAAAAAACCAAACCAAACCCCCCTAAGTATCATTAAATTATAAATACATAATGCAAATTTATAATGGCACAAACATGTCTAAAGTGCAAACAAATCACAACGAGAATCATGCAAACGCTTCTAGATAAGCCCCTCGACCCCCAAGAAAATCACTTTGCAGTGAGCACAAGACCAAAAAAAAAAGCATTGGAGATTAAATGGGTGTGAAACAGTCAGACTCTACACAGAAAATCATGTGACTGTAGTACAGTGCTGGTGTTACTATAGGCCAAGGGGGAAAAAGTGAGACATTTGGCGTAAACTAAGCAGCTCAAATATTTTTGTGAATTAGATTTTCTCTATGCTGAGTAGTTGCTTGGGGGGAGGAAGTAAAGCCACTAGATGAGATTTATCCCTGCTTGAAACCACAGTAATAGGGTTGCTCAGGAAAGGACCACTCCCCTGTCCTCCCCAGGTGAAAAACTGTTAAGAATTGATTGGAAATGTTTTCTACTTCTGGGGATCTGATTGGACAACCAAAAAAAGTTTCCACTCAACATTCAAAATGTTGGGCATTTAAATAGCCTTAGGAAAAAAAAAACACACACAAAAACTTAAGCAGTGTTTATACAAATAGTTGGAAAAAGCCGTCAATCCATTTTCCAACAACACAATGTTCGGAGGGCAAGTGTTGGACCTGCTTCGCAAGGTGAGTTTTACTGGTTGAAATAGCGGTTTTGCACTCTGTATGTAAAGGGACCACAGCTCCAGTGCACTTATACTGGTAGCTCTATTTGGAGCAAATCCCCAGTGTAGACACGCCCCTATGTAACGGTGTAGTGTACTTGATACCCAAACTCTGGTAGACTTCCTGTTCCAATGCCCCTTTCCTAATGGTGCATCTCAAAGTACCTCTCCCAAAGCGCTGAGCACCTGCACCTGGTAAAATTGAGCACCCGTCATTCCCACTGGGAAGCATGCAGCACCTTGTAGGATTGCATCCTCCTTACGCTGGATTCCAGTATACCTGACACTGTTGCACCTAGCTTGAACCGGACTGCATGATTCAGAGTGTCTCTAGATATATTACAAAAATCACTGTCAGCAACATTTTTTGCTGCTTACAATTTTACGACAGCACTTTCGGGCTACATTTAACGAAGACAGCAATTCTGGAAATGCTGTCACTGCATCTGGTTTTAATATATTAGCAGCAAGTCATTGTTTAAAGGCTTTGTGGTTGAGAAGTTCTATTGCTTTATATTCTGCAAAGAGAGATGTCCCCCCGTTAGCCTTTTACAGAACTTGATTCGCTTCTTAACGAGCTGAACCAGTCAGCTACCCCCCAGACCTAGTTTCCAACGGGGTAGATTTTGGAATCAGCCCTGCTGCTCCCAAGCCACCACACAAGGTTGCTATTTCTGGCGTACAGAACCCAAGACAGGCTCCTGTGGAGGCCTTCAGCTAGGCGTGCCAAAAAAACCAACTTGTAAGCCTCGTTCTGATCTTTTTTTCAGAAGAGCATCATAGGAAAGGCAGGCTTGCAGGCCCTGCGCTTCAAGTGGCTCGCAACAGGCACAGTGATGCATGTGTTTTGGATAGCCTGGCTACCTTTAGACATATCTGGCGTGGCTCAGACATGACCCTTCTGAAGGCTGCAGCCGTGATATTTAAGAGTTGGTCTGTCAGCCGTTTGACAATTCCCAGATTTGCTTTTTAGCAGGACTTCCAGCTGGGATGCAAGTACAGTACCGTGGTAACCCCTGAAGGTAGCTCGGGCGGTCGGAACCCAGCCTATCGGTGAGTATGAATAGCTACTCACCAGTTCTTTTGCCTGGTCCAATTCTAATACATGATTAAACAATTTCTCTCTTTCATTAGAAAAAGGCCACCGTGAGGAATGTGTACTTTTGAACATGACCGAGATAGTGTTTCCAGGGGAAAAAAATAAAGCTAAGGTACAAAACTAAATTTATATGCAATAACATTATTATATTCTGCTTCTTTTAAGCAGACTCTTCTGGAATTTATGTACAGTACATGACAGATTTTAAAACTATGTATACCACAGTTAGAGCAAGACCTTTAATACTCTAGTTTTAAGACAGTTTTGTTAAGGATTCTTTTAAAGCTTTTAACAGTTAGATACAGTACATAAAGATGCTGGGGTTTTTAAACCAATGCAAAGACTGACCAACTTAAAAATCCGCTGTCACCACATGGTCTTGCACCCCATGCTGTCGTTTTTGCACTGAGATGCAGGGCAATGCTAAACAAACAGTCCTCCATGTTTCGTAAGTGCTAGACCCGATTGTGGTAGATTAACTGGGTAAGGGAGTTTTACAAGAGAGGATTAAGACTGTATGTCACTGAGACCAAGAATCCAAACATGACATTCATATTCGTCCATGGCCAGCACAGATTCATAACACAAATTCCACTGATAGCTTTTAATGGATCTATCCTAAAGATATCACCACCTATCAGCCTCATCCTATTAATAAGGTTAAACTATTAGAGTTGGTTTTAAACTGCAAGGGTGTTTGAGCTACAGTTCGTTGATAATTTGGTGTCTGCTGAAGAACTGACTGTTGTAAAAAGCCTAGGTTTATGATTTCCCTTTTTTTTGGTGGGGAAGAGAAGAGAGATGGAGAAATTTCAAAGGCAGAAAGCTGGGACATTGAACACAGAAGCCTAGTTCCATGCAAATTGGTTTGAGAGGGATAGAAAATATGAACAACTATATCTAAAACCAGTTTCTAATTGTTATTAAAATCAGCCTACAGTACATTTGGATGGGTGTATTAACTCTCCTAGAAAAAGAGGCTTCTATATTGGTCGTGTTTAGATCTCCTACACACCCATTCTCTCTCCCCTAAGGAATTATGCACTTTCTGAAGAGGTACGTTTCACATGGGATGGAATAGACCCCTCACCTCGGAGGCTCCTAAAATAGATTTTTAGCTTTTGAGGCTCAATGATGCGTCTCCTGTTGAAGTCTGCTCTGGGGTGCGTTTGAGAGCAGTGGTCTGTTTGCAGCAGATGGAAGAGGCTGGCCATGTTGGGTCCTATCTTCTCCATCAAACTGTCTTTGATGGTGCCGACAGTCTCTTCATCACATTCCAGTAAGCTTCTCACGAGCTTGTTGTAATACCTGGATATATGAACAAGACAGTTACTGCCCATTATATTCTTGTTCTCCCACGGGAGAGAGAGAGAGAGTTGATGCCAAGCTAGAACAAATCCATTTGAAAGAGAGAATTGAAATTGTAAGCTATTACTGCAAGGGGCTGTGGGCCCAGGTCCTGCTCTGTAACAGCTTCATAGCCAATACACAAGTTATAACGTTAGCATCAACTTACATAGATTGCGCTCTATCCCAGAGACCATGTACGCATCTCCATCTTTGATTCATGGAGTTACAGTACATGTGTTTCTGGGACAAAATTCTAGTTTACTAGTCCTAGCTGTGCTCCTGTAAAGTTTCTGAACGCTAAATACACACATTTGGGTTCTAATTACTGCTCAAATTAGAAATGATACTCTGATTTTTTTGGCAAGTCAGTGTTGGACTAGGAGCAAAGTTATCAAAAAGGTCACAGGTTTATCAGGACTTATTCTCTAGTAAAGAACCATCAAAATTGTAAACTGCCTTATTTCATCCCCACAAACAAGGGTAATATCAAGACCATAAAATAATGGACAGAAATAAGTTATAGACCCTTATGCACACTAGAGTATAAATTCCCCTATGCAAAGGTTATTCCCTAATCATTTGCCTTAGGGCTTTTTTTTTTTTTTTTGCAGCTTCCTCGGAAATATCTGGCACTGAGCACTATGTCCACTCCTCTAAAGGAATCTCTATATGCTTCTTAGGACTCTTCTATGGAGATTTGACACCAACCCTTTCCCCCCTTCTATGTAGTCTTTAGAAAGGGCTGAAGAAGAAAACGAGGTCAGTGTAGGTCTAATAGCCTGACAAATGCATGCATTCCTAGTGGGATGAATTTTTAGGATTTACAACCAGCAGTAACATGCTGAAGAAGAGAAAGTTGGTTAATTTAATCAGGCCCTTTTACTGCAGTTTTTACTCTCTACTGTGGAATTTTATTTTAGCACAAGGCCCTGAGAGTATGCTTTCCTTGCTCTCCTGTTTATGAGAGAGCGAGCCAGGAATTTGTGCTGATCTGTTTCCACATCTCTGTTTGGAGTCCAAGCAGAGAAATAACAGTGCTCAAAAGAATTCTCCTCAATGGGATGCAGAGAGAGCTGGGTTGATTCTTCCTATCACTTAAGCAGACAGCGCAAACATACTGATCTCCTAGAGAACAAACTGGAGGGAGGTGTAGAAGTATCAGAAGTCCTGGGGGCTACTGCCCAGGAGGATAATGGAGCAGGATAGAAGGCCATAGGGTAAAGAAGAAGAAGAAAAAGACACAGTGCTTTTCTCACAGATGTTACCGCAGGCTTCTTCTTCAACTGCTACAGGTCAGGGCACATTGATATTTCTGCTACAACTGGAGAGTGAAGTGAAAGGCCTGGGAGTTTAGAGTAAGGTACTACGGTTAACTTAAACGATCCCAGTAGGGAGTTCTGGTTGAAACTTTCTATTAAGTTGACATTTACAAAGGGTTAGAGGTCATAAGCAAAGTACTATGTTTTTTGGTAGAGCTGGGTGAAGTTTTTATGCTGAATTTTTATTTTTCTCCAGGAGAAAAATGCATATTTGGCAACTTCAAGACATTTTGTAAATTCATGTTGAGGTCACCAAATTGTTTTTTGATCCAAACAAAAATTCTGAAAAAGTTTAAACACTTTACTTCAAAGTTGCCTTCAATTTTATTAAAAAATTGAAAACAAAACCTCACTTAATCTGATTGGCACATTGAAATTTTTCAAAATCTTTGCATCATCATGAGACATTTTTATTTTCAGGTTGAACCAAAAATATCCATTAGTTGCACAGATCTAATTACAGGTACATCAGGAGAGGTTATCAAAAAGTGCTAATGTTAGATAATTGAGACTCTTTGGATGCAGACAACGCATTAACCCTTCATAAAGGATCAATAGAGGTGTTCATAAATGGCCAAAGAATTTATACATTTAACCTTAATGCAAAGTGTGACAGAATGTTGTCCATTTTATTCTATGCTGCTGCAGATGTATCAATGCACCACAGAAGCTAGTGATTGGGAACTGCCTAGTAAAACATCTCTTCTTCCTGGTGTCAAGTTTTGCTCACTTAGTATCCTTTGCAGAAGAGGTTCTATTGGATGATGATGATATATTGTGTTTATCATCAACTGAACTTTCAGATTCTATCCCCTTCCCTAGCTCTCTCTCCAGCACGCAAAGTTACTGGATAGAAATACAATCTGATGTTTATTAAATGAATGGATTTTAATCTTTTTTTTTAAATCTAATTTCAGTAGCTACAGCATGTCTAGAGGCAGAAGGGCCTTCCTCCTTCACGGCTACTGACTGGAGATTAAATCAGAGGAAGCTGCATGACCCTTTAACTACTTCCTGTTGGAATTCCGTGCCAACTGGCACATTCTTATTTTGTGTCTATGTTGGGACTTGGGCTGGGAAAGCAGGATGCTTTAGGAGAACTTAGTGTAAACTATTAGCTGGGAAATCCTGCTTCTTTTGTTACTCAACATGTTACAATATCCTTTTGCTTCACCGCTAGTCAAAGGCTGTGTGTGGAAGTTTCCTTTACCACATCTTATCCCAAGACAGGTCTCTTAAGGAACAGCGACCCTATCCTAGGGCTAGATTCTCCACTGCTTTGCACCTTGGGGCGAGACTTGCACTCTGAAATGGTAGAACAGGTGTAAGTGACCACACAAGGTGCAAAGATGTAGAGAGAGTCAAGTCACTTGAACTCTTCATGGGTGCAAATTAAACATTTATACCGAAGAGATTATAAAATTAAGGCCTTGTCTACTATGTACGCCTGTTACTTGATACAACACCCCGACCCTTGGGTAGATGTAGTCAGACAGGTGTTTATAGCTTACTCCTATATAGGAAAGGGAATAAGTTCCACAGTAGGGATTGTACTAGTATAACTATACTGGTAAAACCCTCCCCCTCCAAGCCAAAATAATTATTACATTGCAGACATACCCACGCTAGCTTTACCCTGCCTGTTCCTTGAGATGACAGTAACCTTCCATTTTATCAGGAGTAGGGAAGACTCAGAATCCTACAACCTAATGGGTCATGACAACATAAAGTCATGGAAGAGCCATTTAGCTGGTGCCCTTTTTAAAAGGAAAGCATTCTCAGTTATTTATATTAAACACAGAATGAGACTGTTTCAGCAAAGAGAGGTGGAGTTGCCTTGGGAGGAAATTAAGCTGCAATATTCACTAAGAGACGTTCAACATAAGAATTAAAGGGACACTCAACTACATGTCTGAAAATGTTGCATCTAACAGCCATCACTAGAAGTATAACAAAGTTAACCAAAGAATTCTCAGCTTTAAGTTCGCTTTGTGCCTTTCAGAGCTCTTAGTCTAGCTGGTTTCCCTCAATGTACAGAACTTTATAAACATGAGCAGGGGGCCAGAAAGTACTATTTAAAGTGAGCTGTATCTGGAACATGTAAAAATTAAAAGATAGAGTCAGGTTGATAGCATCCTTTTAAATGTGCTTCATTCTGTGTTCTTGTATGTTTCATGTAAGGAAACAGCCACATACCTGTTTGAGAAGTGATTTGGAAACTGGACAACTTCAGTGATTGCTTCAGGATTACGCTTTGCAATGCTGCACATGTCCAGTTTGCTGTAACATTCCTCCTGCACCTCTGAGATCATTCTTTGGAAAGTGGAACACCTCCGAATGGCAAGGAAAACCTTGGAAGTAACTCCGTTTGCAATGCATTTCAGGCTCTCTTTCACAAAGGCTTTTCCCTGCAAATTTAGAAGCAGCAGCATCTTAATGTGCAACGGCATAAGTCGGTCATACAATGTTAACCAATATCCTGGTTTTGCTAATTGCTGCTAGGTATGTGTCAAAAGCTTACTCAGCAATAAAGAAACCCATTTACAGTCAAGGCATTTTGTTCCACTGGCTTGTATTCCTAATTATTGTAAATATAAATAGTGATTAATGCCCAACAGTCCCCAATTGTACTGGGCAATGTACAAACACAATACTTATTCCCTGTTCCAAAGAGCTTCCCAGTCTAAGCAACAGCATCAAAAAGGCCGAAAATGCTGGTGTCACAGCGCATATATAGGGGCCAATCCTGTAAGGTGCTAAGTGCCCCAAGCAGGCTTTGAGGCTCACATCCTGATGTGGGGTGTTTCATTTTAAGGCACCTTGAGATCTTCCAAACCGTGTCACCCTCCCCTATGGGAAGAGGTGGTTATTATGCCCCCTTTATAGATGAGGGTAAACATCCCCAGCAAAGCCAAGATTACACTCCTTTACTTATGCCCTTTCTCTAGCTATTCCATGTGAAAAGAAGGGGGGGGGGCGGGGGGGAGGATCTGCAGCTCCAGAGACTCAGGCTGATCCAGTTTTGCATTCCCAGGGCTGAAGACTTCCAATTCAAATCACACGTCTGTGCCAGGTTACACAGCCAGAAGAACGTTTATATTTCCTCCTGAAGAGGAAATTTAGCTCTCTGCCCCACAAGGCTACCTCTGCCAAGTCCTCACACACAGCACTCACTCTGTGGAAAACATACTGTAGAAAATCTCCCCGAAGAATAGATTTGTGGCCAAAAAAGCAGAAGTCCTGGTTCCCACAAGAGCATCTAAGTAGTAGCAAGGCCCATTAGGAACTACGGGTGACCTGTACAGAACCCATTGCAGGATCAGGGCCAAAGAAATTAAAATCTCAATTCCAAGCATTTAAGGGCCCTGGGGATTAAGCAAGTGCTTTGCTAAATCAGGGTGTAAACCTGGCCTGAATAAAGAGGAAGCTGTAAAGGAAAAAGAGGTTAGCCTTGTACTGTACCTGAGTATCAAATTTAGCAGCGCTATAGAGGAAGGACTTGCAGATGTCGTACATGCCATCCGTGTCGCACGTAGAGTTCTCCAGGCAGGCAAACGCACCGCAACCCACCTGGAGGGCACTATTTAAACAGCGAACCACTTCAGCTGGAAAACAGGCATAGGACACCTTACTACATTACACAATGCTTCCCACTTCTGTAGCCCCCTTCATCTCAGGGCACAAAGCACGTTACCAATGATTAAGCTGCAGAAGTCTCTTGCAGACACAGTCAAGTGATATCCTGTGACACAGGATATTTGGGGGGGGGGGGGGGCCAGAGAAGGGAGTAAAAACAAGAGATATATCAGGCAAGTTATTAATTGAAGTCATGCAATAAACCACCAGCAAAACTTGGAACAGAACACAGATCTTCTAACGGACAGTGTGAGCTGTAGCTCACGAAAGCTCATGCTCAAATAAATTGGTTAGTCTCTAAGGTGCCACAAGTCCTCCTTTTCTTTTTGCGAATACAGACTAACACGGCTGTTACTATGAAACCTTGCAGGTCCTAGACTCACACAAATTAAAAATGTTTCCTACGGGTCGGTTTCATTTAATATTGACCAGAGGCATTATTTATCCTACTTCTTGAGTTTACACAGTTTTTATGTAAAGGTTGTGCAGAGCCTACTTAATGTAAAATTAGGAAAAAATTAGTGCATCTGAGGCACAGATGAAGGAGAAACACTAGTGGAGATTGTGTGACGGCTAAAAGCCCTGGAGCTCCGATCGACTATTAGTCTGAAAGGCAGTCCGGATGAATTGACAATATCTAGATCATATATAATGGCTGAAAGGGAAAAATGGAAACAGTAGCGCATAGGGACACTAGCCAAAAAAAATAAAATAAACCAATGTGATAACTTCATTTTCATGCTTGTGGCTATTGTGAAGGGAGAGAAGCTTTGACTGCTGTTGAGAGTACTGTATCATGCTAGGAAGAAGAAAGTTTTAGTCCATATATTAGTTCAACTAGCGTAGATAGTCCCTGGTTACTTGCTTCATATTTATATCTTCATAAGCAGAGCAGAGCTCTGATAAAGGTTTTCATGAAGATAGAATAAACATTTGATCCAGGGAGTTAAACTAATGAAGATCAACGTGTAATTAAAATAATTCGGACATAGGCACTAATGTGTGTAAACGGCAGAACATAACATTTCTCTGTATTAAAAAATGATATCGGGTGTATCGAAACAATGAGCCAACTGTATTACCAGATTACTGCCCTAAAGTTAACAGGTATTAAGCGTTTCTAGCAAGCTGAAGGTCTGTTCAATCATGTCCCTGTGCAGGGCATATTCACTACTTTTTGTCATCTCTTGTTACTTACTTACTCACTTCCCTAAAGAATGTCAACCTGGAGTCTTAAATCAGAATATTAGATGTCAGAGACAGGAGGCTAGATGCAGAGTAGAAGAGAAAAACCTGTACCAAAAACTAGCTCCTAATCTAAAGAGGGGTCTGTTACAACTGCTATCTTTTGAGGGAAAAAGAAATGCAGCCCCTGTGTTCCAATACCACTTACACACCTGGAGAGAAAGATTGATATTATCCTATTCCTAATTCACCTCTGGCCATCTCAAGTTGTTTTCATAACTATATGTTTTGATAGGTTCCGATTATAACCTTGCTTTCAGCAGGTTTAATATGCATTAGGCTTTTATTGTTTTAGGCACAGTGGACTAGAGAGAGAGAGAGAGAGAGAGAGAGAGAGAGATCTTATGTTTCTATAGCAACCAAATACAAAAGGAAATTGAGCAAACACCCTCATATAGTACTGCAAAGCCCTGCAGATCTAAAATAAAACAGCTCTTAATGAGCTCCAAATTAGAGGATCCCTCCCCACTGTCTTTACCATATATTTTAAGACAGATTTTTTATTTTTCCATTGCTCAAGAGAACATAAAATGTGCTCAGCTCATCTGGACACCTACAGTACACGAAGTATAGCCATTTAATGATGACTTGCTAGTTATTCCTCTCATCTATTGTAGAGGCTAGTTAGGTAAGTGTGCTGATCATATTTTCCATGTTACCATTCTGACCAATATCTATAGACAATTAAGACGACCTGCTAACAGTGGACACATGTTTAGCTTATTACATTCTCTGAAGTGGCATTAGAAAAAAAATCCTGTTCCTCCCCCATTTGAACACACAGAGATATTTCGAAGAAGGAGCTTTAACTTGCTAATAAGCAAGGAATTTAACATTAAAGTATATTTATGACAGGGAAAAAAGCGCATGTAACTCATTTAATATCTCTTAGATATACACATTTGCAGATTACATGCTGGTTTATAAACCATCTCCTGAAATGAGATTATTTCCTTTCGCTGTGCATCAATATTACACAGAATCAGCTTCCTAGGATTTTTGCTTATATAATTTATTGCTAACAGCCATGAAGGGAGAGTCTCTAGCTATTTAGCAGCAGAGACATTTGCAACAGTTTAAACACATGAGGGCTCTCGTATCTAAAGCCCTCTTTGAGGAGTGTTACCTGAATTCTGTGCTGCAACCCTGGTTTTCCTGGGGCTCACAGAGTCATTCTGTTCGGCTTCATAGGATGCAGAAGCACTGATCACCAGCAGCAGGAGAATAACTGACTTTTGGAGCATTCTCTGACAAGTTTCCGCTAAGTTTTTGAGAGTGTCTCTTCTTTCTTTCTTCGGCTTCAGCAAAGATGCGGATCTGGATACACTCACGGAGAAAGGAGTCTGTCAAGGACTTAGTACTGCTGCAGCCTTGCTCCGCTTGTACCCCTAGCTCCTGCTCACTGGGGGACCAAGAGCAAAGCTCAGGGCTTTTATAGCCGGCCTTATCTATCCCCCTCCAGGATCTGGAGCCAATCAGGAGGTGGTATGGGCAGCCAATGGGATGCTGTGCTCATTCAAGCACCAGAGCACTGGAACTTCACAGGAAGAATATTTTCCAGCCAATTAAAAGGACCTGCCAAACAATTAAAAAAAAAAAAAGTTAATCTTCACAGAAGCCAGGGGAAAAAAAACCAAAACTTCCGGTGATTAAAATTTTGCTCAAGAAATTGCACGACAACCCTAAATCTTTCCCAAGATCACCTGCTTTAAAAAGTAACTTAGTAGCTACTGCAGGAAAATACTGATATTGTAGTCTATCGTCTATAAATAAGTAGATCAGCTAATTAAAGCAGAGGCATTTTCAATGTATTACACAGAATGAATATTTGCCACATAAGTTGCATACAGTCAATACTGCCAGTCAGCCATGCACATAAATAGCGGCCCCCATCTATGCATACACTGATTATATACACAGTGCTTGCACACAGTACCTGTGTACACCCCACCCCCCAAATATGCAGCACACACAGAGTTCAGGCACAGTCACCCCCCCCCCCAGCCAACATTATACAGACCATACATATAGTCCCTAAACCCTCCAACATGCTAATACGCAGACTGATACACACCCGTGCATAACCACAGTATATGCTTCGACCTATGCTCACAACAGCACGTCCTCTCTCTTCTCCCTCCCGCCCCTTTGCCCATAAACAAACATTTGCTGACTTTGTTTTAATAAACTGAGTATTCATGCCTGATACTTCATCATAAACTTTTTTTGGATGATAGAACAGGAACAAGTTCGAGAAACAACTGTTGATTGTTTACTTTTTTGTTGCGGCTGGTTTTAAACCTGACAAATTCATGACCTGAGGAGGAAAAACACATTTCTTAAGCTTTGTTTTTAAAAAACAAATGATGTTTAAGACACTGGAGGCCTGGTTATTATTTAGACCCGGGCCCCTTTACAGCAGTCTGAAAGTGTAAAGGGGCTTAAGGGGGCCTAAAAGTAAACAATGCTGGCCCTAGATCTTGAACCTGAGGGTAGGAGGGTGTGTGGGGAAGAAAGATTTATGGGTTAAAAAAAAAAAAATCTAATTTCAGGAAAAATTAGAAATAGATACCAAGTATCATTCGTCATGCGAATACTGCTTTTCCGTGGATCTCGTAACGCCTCACAAACATTAATAGATTTATCCTTACAATGCTTCTTTGGGGAAAG